TCCTGGGTATCACCAGCCTCCTCCCGCGGCAGCTTTCGGCGGCGGCGGTGATCCCGGTTTTGTGGATCTCAGTGCCGGAGGCGGTGGTGGTGGTGGTACTCACTTCCCTGGCAACCCTGGCAAGTACGATGATTGGGAAGAATGAGTCTGTTTTCCTAGTCTCTGAGAGACTGTGTGTTCTTTCTTACTTGGTTACGATTCTTGTACGGACATACGGGCAGGCGGTTTGTTCTTTTTATTTTTGGGCTTCGATTGATGATCGACGTTGGCGTTTGACAACAAAAAACACTCTCTCACACATACAAACTACCAGACTCCCCTTCCCCTCCGATTGTACCCAGAACATTTTTCGAAGGGAGAGAACAGAACCTTCAAGGAAATTGGGGAGGGCATATAATGAATTATGATGTCTGTATCTTGCTTTATTGTTGATGATATCACGAGAGAATAAGATTATAATACTGATGTGTTTATTCGCTTGGCTGAAACAATGCTTTAAAATGCCCACGCCCAATTGGCGGCGACTCTGTTTACTATCTGCTCTTTTTTTTTCCAACTCCATTCTGGAGTGCATCTTGACATACCTCAATAGGAGCAATTTATAGAGTCGAGACCAATGGTGGCCCTGGACAATCGAGACTGACGTACACAATGGATCATTGATCACAGCTTAAATTGGAGTATTCACAACGGCGACATGCCTGCAGTGATATCATCCTAAGTAAACTCCCGATGAATTATATTACCGGCAGACGGAACTAAAGGTGAGGAAAACGGCCTCGATGCGGATACCTACCGGTCCTGCGTCATTCGGGGAAGCCGCTGTAGCTAAAGCTCGAGTGTGTGGCTGAGCATTTCTGCGCTGTTCCTCGGCTCTTTGGAGTCTAGACCACAGCCACACACAGACTTCACAGTTGGCCTCAATCCACGCATTTCACGGAGCACCGCGTCCATATTGTCTTGATCTTGCGTCTCCGACTATGCAACTTGTGCAGCAAGTGCTTCTCAGCCGCAATGTAGTAGTATTCTGGATAGTGGATATCCTGCTTTTCCTCAGTTGGCAGATCGTATACTGCAGTACTTGCATATAGAAAAAATGACCCTCGGCCTCCGCCACTTTTGATTTGTCGTGCAGGAAAGCTACCGCAGCATGGTACTAGGTAGGTATCATTGTGGAAGGCTCGTTTCGCAAGCCAATCAACGTCTGTTTAACCCAATTCAAGCGAATTCTTTTTGTCGTAGACACAGGTCTCACTCCCTACACTTCTCTCCCCATTGGCTCACGAGGACCACCTTCACTTGAACCACTCATCTATCCCCATACTTTTGATGACTGCATAGAAACACCAACGTAGCTGTCTTACTTAGCCCAGATCTCATTCCAGAAACCTTAGTGGCTCGTCCATATCCACCTAAGACCTTGGGCCGCGCATTTCCGGCCATCCAAGAGAGCCCTGGGGTTTCTTCCCCCAGACCAGGTTCTATGTTCATCACTCAGCCTTACAAGTCCCAATACGTAGTAGTAGTCCTTAGCCGCAGGCAGCAAATGTTGCCTAGCATTTAGCGTCAAGTCCTAACTCCTTATTCCCCAGAAAAAAATACCCTCAAGGTTATAGCAGGACTTGCTTTCACGACTTTCCCTACCTCACCGCTATCCTAGCGCAGCCGGAGTGACTCAAACCATGCTTTTCACGCCTTCTCTGTTACAGGCGGCCTCAGCGACCCATCTCAAATTCCCATATGCTGACGACCCGAATCTACTGGGCCGGCTATGCTCATTGGTGTGTGATGGGTTCCGGCGAACTTACCCGCATATTGGATGTGGTGGTTGCAAAACCCCTGCCTAACCGGCTAGACTTGTGATCACGAACGCCTCGTTGACGTGGTTGCCTCCCAAGTGAATGGGTGTGTATCTTCTTCTGTAGTTCGACTATATAAAATAGCAAACGTCTCGCACATTCAAGACTTAGAGATTTCACACACTTCACTAGTTCGACATCCCCTTGTCTTTCTACTCCATACTATACAAGAGGAAGCATCTCAACTGTCTTACCTCTTATCATCAACGAGATATCTCAACCCAACCAGACCGATTGTATAACATAGACTCACATTGTTTCCCCTCGAGCTGGCCTCATTTTCTCAGCTTTTACAGACAATGGACACAATCACAGATACCGGCTACGCCGACCCCATCAACACCTCATCCAGCACGGCTCAGCCTCCTCCTCAACTGGCACTGCTGGACTTCTTCTTCCCAGGCTTCAGCGTTTTCACAACAGCCTTCCAAAAGTACCTCGGAATCGACCTAAATGTCTATATCCCCCTAGTGATCCTCTGCGGCGGCGCCACCTTTGCCTGGAGGTACTTTAGCGAGTACCTCTGGGAAAAGGTCGAGAAGCACCTCATGTCGACAGTCGAAGTCCGCACCGACGACGAGATCTACAACATCCTCATGTCCTGGGTCGCCGCCCAAAAGTTTGCCAAGAACTCGCGACGTTTCGTTGTCAACACCAACCTAAGCTCCCGTTCCTGGTTCCTCTGGCGCTGGGACGACGAGGAGGAGGAGTCGGACGAGTCCTCCGACGGCGGCCTCGTCGAGATCTCGGGCCAGAAGAAGAAGCCCCTCGCCTACACCCCCAGCTTCGGCAGCCACTCGTTCTGGTACCGCGGTCACCTTCTCCTCTTCAAGCGCAGCCAGAACCGCGAGCAGGCCTCCTACCTCGTCGTCAGCGAGCGCGAGGAGATTAGCCTCTCGTGCTTCGGCCGCAACCCCTGGGTCCTCAAGGAGCTCCTCCAGGAGGCCCGCGCCGAGTACCTCAAGAAGGACTCGCAAAAGACTATGATCTACCGCGGGAGCACCCGCGCCGGCACCACAGAGCCTACGTGGCAGCGATGCATGGCCCGCACTTCCCGGCCTTTCTCGACCGTCATCCTCAACGAGAAGACCAAGAAGGAGCTCGTCGACGACGTCGCCGACTACCTCTCCCCCGTGACTCGCAAGTGGTACTCCAACCGCGGCATCCCCTGGCGCCGGGGTTACCTCCTGACGGGTCCCCCCGGCACCGGCAAGTCCTCGCTCTCGCTCGCCCTGGCCGGCTTCTTCAAGATGCGCATCTACATCGTGAGCCTGAGCTCCATCTCGGCCAACGAGGAGAACCTGGCTACCCTGTTCGCCGAGCTGCCCCGGCGGTGCGTTGTCCTCCTGGAGGACATTGACACCGCCGGCCTGACGCACACCCGCGAGAATGGCACAGGAACCGGTAGCGATGCCGCAGACGCCAAGGACGGAAGCGGCGACATGGTGCCCGGCCAACTGACCGTAGGCAACGGGGCCAACAACACCAGCGGCCGCCTCTCACTATCCGGTCTGCTCAACATCCTCGACGGCGTAGCCAGCCAGGAGGGCCGCGTCCTGATCATGACCACCAACCACGTCGAGAAGCTCGACAAGGCCCTCATCCGACCGGGCCGCGTCGACCAGATTGTAAAGTTCACCTTGGCCGACGGCGAAATCATTGGTGCCATCTTCCGTGCCATCTACGCACCCCTCGAGGGCGACGAGGACATTGCCGCCCAGCCCCTCCAGGAGCACAAGCAACTGATCGGCGACGCTCTTGAGGACGACGACGACGAGAAGAAGGAAAAGCTTGCCGAGCAAGCCGCCGCCCGCACCGCAGAGATCGTAGCCGCCGTCGAGGCCCTCTCCGAGACTTTCGTCGCCCGCATCCCCGCGCACGAGTTCAGCCCGGCCGAGATTCAGGGGTACCTCATGAAGCACAAGCGCAGCGCCGAGGCCGCGGTCGCGGGCGCGGCGGAGTGGGTGACGGAGACGCGCAAGGAGAAGAAGGAAAAGGAGCTCAAGGCCGCCGAGGAGAAGCGGGCGGCCGAGGCCAAGCAGAAAGAAGAAGAGGAGAAGAAGCGCAAGGAGGAGGCCGAGGAGAAGGAGAAGGAGGCCAAGGAGAAGCGTAAGGAGGAGAGGGAGAAGAAGCGTAAGGCGGAGAAGAAGAACAAGAAGAGTAAGCGAAATAAGAACAAGGAGGCGGCTTCTTCTGATTCATCTTCTTCCGACTCGGATTCTGGCTCCGGCTCGGAATCGGAGGCCCCCGCCAAGGGTTCGGAGAAGAAGACTGCGGAGGAGCCGGTAGTGGTCTCGGGGGCCAAGGCCGAGCACGGGGCTGAGGATGTCACGCAAAAGCGAGACTCGGGTTACGGTACTCCAGTGGAGGTTTGAGAAAGCTGGAGCCCTGCATCACAATGTATTTGAGGCGTTTGTTTCTTTGCCGTTTCTGTATACTTCTTCTTTTGCATTAACCGGCGTCTGGGCGGCCGGTTTAGATGGGGAGATCCGGAGGAGAACTGCGATCCCATGTCATAGTGTTACTTCTTGAAGAGGGATCTCATTTGATTTCATCAAGTTTATAGAGAGTGGCATGTCTTGTGTCCATCTTGTTTTCAAGAAGCGATAGGCCAATGTAAATGGCATGAATCATAAAAACAATAGAACTGTGATTGTGATCAGAGACTTGAGCCATTGAATGCCTAGTAACCTAAATGACATTGCAACGGTAGTTAGACGTGAACACTTTGGTTGGCGTATCGACGAATGCAGCATTGACTGCCATCAACAATTCACAACTGTATTGTTGTGCTTGCTTGGGATGGGCCTATCATGTAGCGTCTCAAACTCTGACTGGGGTATTTCTAAGAGCTGAGCATGCATGTCTCATTTCATCACATTCGGCTATGTGGCAAAGGTGGGCTATTACTCAATATGGAGCCTGTCATTCGTGGTGGCCGACAACTCCTACCTGATGTGTAAAGTATTGCAGGCGCTACTGAACATTTATTCACGTCGAGGACGTGTCTAGCCCACCAGTATATCTGATGCAAAAGGACCCCCCCATTCATATTTGCTCCATCCCATCACTCATGTTCTGTCGGTCTCCCCCTTCTCAACCGAAATCCGACTCGAGCATCATTTTGCTCTTCCACCTCGCATGATGGCCGCTGTGTCCAAATCTGAGAAGGAACTCTATGAAGAATGGAAGAATACTCTGAAAAACGACAACCGCGACATTTCAGACCTATGGCAGGAAGCACTCAAGAATTACAAGGGCATTGTTGGGTTCGATTTGCAACGCAGCTTCGATAACGTTCAAGACATGATCAAGTTCGCAAACCAAGAAATGGAAAGATTCCATGATTACAGACACAACAAAGGAAAAGTCGACCGTTTGAGGAGTGCGTTTGCTTCCAGCCTGGGATATGTAGAGACCGCAGCCCAGATCCTTGTTCCAGCAGTTGAAGGAGCTTTCCCGCCGGCTGCTGCCATAGGGACGGCTCTGACGCTCATCATCAAAGGCTGTCGCAGTGTCACGGTGGACTATGACATTCTCGTCGTGTTCTTTGAGGACATGAACGGTTTTCTCAATAGAATCGCCATTTTAGAGACCAGGCTGCCCAAGCATCGAGCCTACCAAAACTGTTTGATGGAAGTCTTCGTCTCTATGCTTACCATATGTGGCCAAGGAAGGAAGTGTATCGACCTTCGCCGCTTCAAGAAATGGATCTCTAACCTGGTCAACGGTGACGGTGGCGAGCTCACGGAGGCAAGGGACGAACTGAAGAAGAAGCTGGACAATCTCCAGATGGCTACTCAGTTTGCGATACTAGCCAACACCGAGGCGAGAAATGATCTTATCAAACAGCTCGACGACAACCAAAGGTCACACGCCAAGCTACTTGAGAGTTTTCGGAGCACCATCGACAGCATCTACGACGAAACTCGGCTCAACGGCGCCCTTCTTGCACAGGTGCTGGAAAAGCTGTCTGAACAACCAGAGGAAGAAAAACAGCTGGAGATATCGCAGACTAAGAATCATGCGCCGTCAAGAGGACTCCTGAACGGTTTGATGGCAATCGGCAATAACGACTCTCAATATCAAGGTCTCAAACATACACACATCTTAGGTTCCTGCAGCTGGCTCCCTTTGGAGGCTCAGTGGGAACAATGGCATGAGATCGACGACGGAAAACGACCACTTCTTGTCGTCACTGGCTACCCTGGTGTCGGCAAAAGCCACTTGGCTGCAGCAATATATGAGAAGCTTCAGGAGAAGGCAAAGCAAGATACCACAGGGAACACATGTGTCATTCAATTCTACTTCAACAAAGATCACCACAGTCTGAGCTGTTTTCTTTGTGGTTTAATCACGCTGATTAACCAAATTGCCGAGACTAACGACGCCGCATACCAAATTTTGGACGCTCAGATCAAGAAAGACGAGCTGGGCTGTCTCGACAGAAAGGATTGGCGGCATCTTGTCGAACATCTACTCAAGCCAGTGTTCGAGCGAAGTCTCATGCTACATGTATTTGTTGTACTGGATGCAATCAATGAAACCACGCAGTGGTCAGATCTTATGTCCTTCTTGTATGAATGCATTGGCAACGAAAAGCTCAGAGTCTCCGTAGTTGCCACTTGCAGACTTACTGACATGATCCGTCTCCCTGATGGTATCACACGTCTTAAAATAGAAGTCACCAAGGAAAAACAGCGTCAAGATTTCAAGCTCTTCATCTGGGATAAGATTCAGTCCCTCAAACATCTGAAAACGTTCAGCCGCTATGTTCAACAAAGAGTCGCCGATGTGGTCGAAGAAACGTCCTCAAGTCAGTATTTCCCCTCCTTATTTCTCTTAAGAGGCTCATTACTGATTATCATTCTAGATATGCTATACGCAGGGCACCTGCTCACTTGCTTGGATGATCTTGGCCGTGAGGGAGCCGTACTGAAAGCTCTCAAGCAAAAGATGCCACACGGCCTTTTCGGCATGTACGAGACTCTTGTGGCCGAATCTCTGCGTCTTTTGCCCAAGAATCATCAGAAAGGTGTCGTAGCACTGCTGCAATGGATTGCGGTTGCTCAAGGAACCTTCACACTTGAAGAAATTCAGTCTCTAGCAAAGCATCTTTCACACGATAGTGCCCTCGATCTCGACAAGGTCCCTGGTCTCTTTTCCAAGTTTATCACGGTAGGAAATCCCGGATTCGATATAGAGTCACAAGCAGTTGCGAAAACCAGCCAGGCACAAACCATCAAAGATCTGACACAGAGAGACGACGAAAATGATGGGGACAGCATATACTACGGTGGTTCGCTTCCGGTCAGACTCAGGGAAAGGTTCATGCAGGGCTACTACTTCGAAACTTTTGGTCCTAATGAACCTCTTATCGTCGAATACCGATCAGAATTCTCGGCGTACCAGCGTTTCATGTTCTTGACCTGCACGGAGTTGGCGCAATCTGATCGAACAGACGTCGAGGAGGGACTGAAGCGATACTGTGCCTTGAATGCTATCTGGCACTGGTCAGGAATTAGCACCGATCGGCATACGCACGAAGAGAACGCTGAAGTTCTTGAGGCTTTTGCCAAGCTGCTTTCTAACAGAACTGGACTTTCCAGTATACTGCGACGGGCCGACGTGACGCATCCCGAGGGGAATTTCGAAAACATCAACGACGCCATCTTACACTGGAACCGAACCATTGAGAACGTAGATGTAAGAGATCGTCTTAGCCTTTTTGCGACCGAGTGGTGGCATGAAGTTGGCCAAAACCCCCCAAAGTTCCGTCTTGGCTTGGCCAAGGCATATCTGCTCGATGTATACCAGTCGGATAGTTTGCAAGACGCTATAAACTCGTGGAAGCGTCTTCTTTCCATACTAGAAAGGGTAAGTGCATCGATATTTGCAGCGATGTAAACGAAAAGACACAAGAAGTTGTTACTGAGATCTAGAACAGATTGGCATGAGCAATGATCTGATTTGTCAAGGTCGTGAAAACTTTCCTGAGGAGTTTGAGAATTTCAAAGATCAGAAGTCTTCCCACGATAGCAAGGCTGTTCTTGGCTGCTTGAATCTCTTCGATACAGAGTCCAAACCCGACGCAAGCAGTCACCGAGCGGTAGCGGAGCTTCTTCGTGCAAGCGGTCATCTCGAGCCAGCCGAGAAGACCTGCAAAACCGCCCTTAATCTTTCCAATCTCGGAAGTCAAGACTGATTTCAAGCCTCTTGTGTTCTTGTTGAAATTCAAACCCAAATGAAGAAGTACGATGAAGCGTGTCAGATCGCTCAAGCTGCATTCTTGGAGTTATCGAAACACGAAGTACCCGCGAAACTGAAGCGTGTCGTGTACACAACATATGGATTCACTCGAGCCTTCCAAAAGAAGTTTGATACAGCTCTGGAGTTCCTGGAAAAAGCTAAGGATTCGGATCCGGACGGCTTTACCCCAAGCGATCTTGATGACTACCTCCATGTCTCTAAAACCAAGGGAGCTGTGGCATGCATCAGAGTCTTGAAGGGCTGCAACCTCACAGAAAGAATGTCTTGGTTAGTTTTAAGGTATCAGGAAGAAAGATCGAAGACTCTCGACTTTTGCGCCCGCCTTGCCAAGCAGGCGAATGAACAGGAGTTTATCGTCAGCCTCTATGAGGAAGCAGTTAAACTCCTAGACAGACTCGACGCCGCCACACCCCTTCGGACGGACCTCGCAGTCGTCTATGCCGGGGTGTGCAATAACTCGGAAGGAGCCCTCCAAATTCTAGAGAAGGTCTTCGACAGCCGTGTTATTGGCCGTCGATTCCCGATCACACACGTCGATGCGAGAATCACACTTCTGACTGCGGTGGAGTTGATGGCCAACGTCCAGGTTGCGCTCTTCCAAAAGTCAAGAGATCCAGATTACAAGACGGAACGTCTCCGATCTCTTGCTGGCCTCATGCAGCGCCCATTTCCAATGCAATTTCCTAACCTGTCCACATCTTTCACCATGTCCTACCGGTTGGCTCTATCTTGCATGTACATGTCGATAGGCCCCCTGAAGAAGTTCCACGAAACATTGCAATCTATAACGGATGACGCTTTTGTTGGTCTTGGAGACTCTGTGGATTGGAACGACATTTTTTGTCTCTTCTACCTTGCACAAGTTCTTGCACTTCTCAGTCGAGCACTGAAAAATGATGAAGGACTCATCCGATATGCTCGAATTCTAGGCTCTGCAATATTTTCACAGCGGAACAGCGCACATAAGGGAGAAACACACAGTGAAGGTCTGGATTCTAATGGGCAAGAAGAGAAGACATCCGCTGCTTCTGTTGAAAGCAGCTCGAAAAACCTGGCAGACAGCAAGAGCGATATGGACGATCAGCAGCCTGTCCAAATTGTGGCGGGTCTTCGAACACATGAGAACGACGGCGAGAACAACACGACTGAATATGAATCCCTGGACGAGGGAGACATATTGGATAGCATCAAGATTCCGTGTGACTATTGTGAACAAATAAGTCAGCTTCGAGGTTGGGGAGGTCGCTCAGGTTATGTCTACCTGTTACCCGCGAGCAGCATATTCGTATGCGGAAATTGTCAGGCTTCCATTGCGAAACTTAAGCCAGAGTGTGTCAATTTTAAAGTCGGGCCCTTCCGCATTGTCGAGTATCGCTACCTCAAGCTTCCCATTGAAGGCTGGCGTGGGGTCAAGAATGGTATGTTGAGGTTGGACGGCGAAGAGCCGGTGCTATTCAATGACTTCTTGAAGAAGCTTCAGACAGAGGTGATCAAGAACGCCTGGGATCGGATTTGGTCTGGAGGGGTTTAGGCGTGGTTGCTAGGGAGTGTGACACTACTTCAGTCGCATGCCCGTAAGTCAGGGCAGCTAGTATGCAGTCAGTAATTGTTGAGAACTTTCGGGTGGCGGTCCAAACTTGCCTTGGTATATCAGACTAGATAAGTGACACTCAGCGAATGAACAAGTTTACGGGCACATTGACGACCGACTTGCCTAGCTATCTGGAGTATATGCTCAAGACTGAGTACGGAGTGCGCCCAGGAAACCGAGCTACCAACGACGCGAGGGCGAACTTGCCGATGCAGATGCAGCACCTCCTGTACCGGGCCGACATCGTCAATCTCACCAGGACCTTGGAAGCGGCCCTCACACATTAAGCGCGCAGTAGAGACCCCGGGGACAACCGCAACGCAACAGTGTTCATGCAGGGGCAGCAGGTGTTCGGGAGTATGACCTTTACACGAGTGCGATGAGCGTGGTCTGCCGTTCCCGTGGCAGCAGGAGTGCTGGGACTGGGCCGATTCTCCACGGATGTCGTCTTAAGCAGGCAGACGCCTTCACTGAAGGATTCCCTTCTAGATCTACTGTTTCATCTCCTGAGAGGATGGGAGGGAGATGAAATCCATATGGAGGGAGCGCAGAGGAGCGAGGAGCTACAAAGACTTGAGGGAGGTCTGCACGGGAGGCTCGAGACTGTTGAGGTTCGGTACAGCATTCCTAAGCATGGTAAAAGTGCCAGCGAATTGAGAGGGTAATTCGGCGGTCGGGAGCAGCACGGAGAGTGAAAATCGTAAGTCGATTGAGCGCTGCCATCATTTCGAGTTGGACTATTCCGCGTCTCAGAGATAACTAGAAAACATACAGCCATACTACTCTTAAAGAAGTTCATTGATAAGCATAAAGGACTTGGTAGAATATATGCGGAAAACATAATGAGATGTGAGGTAAGATTTGCTGCTTAGGAGGGGACAACACTGCCTACAAAAAGATGCATCACGAGAATGGATGAAAACATCAAAAACATACAACACCAGGTATTCGCTGGTCGTCACCGACCCAACTACTAATCCGGCCCTCATTGGCTTATCTATGGGAGAGCGGACGGGATCCCGAGTTTTCCAATGGGTATGGTCGTATGTGCCAGCATGAGCATGCTAAGTTGATAATATTTACAGACAGCTGTTCGAGTTACACCCGTAGTCTGCGCTGAAGGTTTGGAAGGCGAATGCTGACAACAACTTCGTAGCAGGCTTCTAGAAGCAAGTCACTGGAAAACGGGGAAGATGCAACTCTAGGGTCTCAGCGGCAGAGAAGCGGGCCAGCTAAGGCAGAGTGTCATCATCAATGGTTCGATAAACCTTGGATGGGTTGTGTCCTAGATGCATGCGGTTCCCGAGCTAATAGAACGGGGACACAATACATCTGACAGTGTTTCAAGGGCAAGATCTTCAGACGATGAAGGATGTCCATGTCCGTGCCGAGTAAGTGCCTCTGCCTTGCCTTGCCGTGCTGTACATTTGATCGCTGCGCAAGGAATGGCGACGGTTCCTAAACTGGAGAAAACTGGAAACTGAGGGGAGGGGCCGGACCATGCAAACCTGGGCAAGAGGGCCGATGCGAGACCGATGCGGTGCGGTTCGGGTTGCAGGGCATGAAGAACGAGGGGTTAAAAAGAGAATTTTTTTCTTGGACGACGTGATGGTTGTTACGCTCGGTCTAAGAGCCTCGGAGTTCGAGGCTGAAGAGAGGACTGCGAGAAGGGGCCAGCCGCCAGCTGCTTGTGACATGTCGTTACGCGGGGCGGTCCCATTGTGGATATCCGCCGGGAGGGGCCATCGTTCGGAGGACCGACGCGGCGATGCGAGGTTGAAAGCGTGGGATGCCATACCATACCTTGGTCGCAGTCGATCTACTGTGTACGGAGTAGCAACCGCCAGTCACTCAGTCGGAGTTCAGAGTATGGGGTTGGTGGGAGAGAGATGGGCTGCAAGGATGTGATCCCCAGAAAAGGTCTCACATCTCTTGTTTATTCCCTCTTTCTTCTTACGTATCGATGTGCGTCTGGCGAGGCGAAACTGTCCAGTTGTACAGGGTCTAAATGTCGACATGCTTGTCGCTGACGAGATGCGCACATGCGGCACGAACGAAATCTGTGCGAATCTTATTTAGTTTGTTCGCTTGTCTCTGGTCTCTGCGGAGTTTTGGCCGGGCCTTTCACCTGCTCCCCAACGTGGGTATGGCGAGGACAGGAAGCTCAGCCACGATATACGCGAACACCATCACCGATAACACGTGGTTATGGTGGTGAGAATGAAGCCTCGTAGTTGTGTTTGGATTTTCCGCGATGCGGTGGCTTGGTGACTGGCCTGCCTGTCAGCCCTTAGTCTTCCGTTACCCTAGCACGCCTGGTAAGCTGCTTGCTGCCCTTGCAGTTCTGCAGCCAGACGCATGTGCCTGTGCCTTCTTGTGTTCCCATAAGACTCTTCCGTGCCTGTGCCTGTGCCCGCTCTAGCTGCTTGGTGAATGGTATTGATAGTACGACTAGGCAAGTTCCTGTCGGCGGAAAGCAAATTGGAAATGTCAACATCGGGATGCATGGCCGTTTTGCATCAAGCTAGACTGAACAAGCTTAGCGAGTCAACGCCAGAGATGGCCGTGGTGTTGTTGAAGATGGAGCTATCAAACGATGAATCGTCAACGAGCAGAAGGGGCTAATCCTAATTAGGACTTGACCAAATCAACTGCAGTTCTGGATGCACGCCTCGGGGCAAGCGCAGCGTCTCATCCTGGATGACGCCCTGGCCAAGTCTGGGGACCTGAGAAGCCAGGCGCACTTACTGCACAGTATATGCCGCCGAGTGAAAGAATGATTCTCTGCAGCTGCCGTCGTTGCAGAAAAGCGCCAAAGAGTATCCGCAATCTTTCCGCAACTGGCGGGGTCATGCGATTCGCCTTCCGTGATAGAGTGAGAGATGAGGGGCAGAGGCGAGCGAATATTGCCCTGACGTAAGAAGCCCTGCCCTACCAAAACTTTCCTTCCTCGACGAGAAACCGCTGGAGTTGCACGGGGTCTTTTTACTTGAGGGACTTCGAACTAACGCCTGACGAAAGGGTCTTGTTGTCGTTCGAGCTTGAGTTGCTGTGTGACGACTGGTCCCCTGAACTTGTATTGAATTTCCTGCTTCAATGACCAAGATCACGAGCGAAATAACGAATAAGCGCCTCAGGGCGCCGATTACGCTCCTCGGATGACTGGCTTGCACCGCCTGTTCAGCCTATTTGACCCTTGAACTTCTTCTGGCTGCCATGACACGCAGCATGCTTCTAATTGCCGCGTTGCTGGCCTCAAGAAGCGTCTGCGGCCCGGTCCAGTGGATCCTCAATATATGGAACACGAAGCATTCTCGGAGCACTAGAAGCAAAGTACAAGGCCTGCCATGTTATCAAGTACCTCGATCTCTGCATCTCTCCGTGTACTGACTCCTGCCAACCTGCTTGTCACTTCACATGTTTTACGTCAATACCTCCGTACTTGAGACAGGCGACGCCAAGGTACGGAAGGGGGTAACCGCGGGGCTGGAGGGGGAAAAAGTCTCTCACCACGTTGAGCCGTTTCCATGTCTCAGTGCAGACGAGCTTGAGCTGTCTCGAGAAAGCTTTGGTGGCCTATTCAGATACTCTCTTTGCTTGCAATAAGGGAGCCATCCGTCGTGCAAGGCTGATGCCGCGACAGTCGGATAGACAGGCATCAAACGCTTCGTTCCGAGATGCCGTCCGTCTTGCTTTGGCCAGGTAGCGATCCAGCTCTGAGCCAAAGCTGAACAGAGAAGCAGGACGGCAGACTCTTTTCGTCTGTTTGAAAATTTCATCATTCCGATGGAGAAAAGTGTGTGCGAGAGCTCAGCAAGGTACAGCTGGGTACTTGTCGCAAGTCAAACTTGCCTCTTGAAAGTATCCATCGAAATGGTACCTTTGATGGAGGGGCAGATTGATAAGGTACCCTTTGGCTTTCGGCCCCGCTTGACTGTACTTGGACCCCACCAGACATTCCGAATGAGGTGGGCGAAGACGATGCGATGCGAAAATGTTCAGGCAGGTACGTACCGATGGATGGAGGGGGTGAGGGGGAGGGGGGACCTGGGAAACGCCATTTCCCATCTTTTGGCGGTGATGGTACCATAAGTAAGATTTGCCTTCCTTCTCACCGGGCACACAACGGAAGGTGAGGTGGTGAGGTTCCTGCCCACCCACACAGTAGAGCACCGTCCCCCTCCAACTCGATCCATCAATCATTCAGCAGCAGCAGCACCACGAGTGTGTTTCTTCCTGCATGTTTCTTGTCAGTCGGACATTGTGCTTGTACGACCTCACTGCATTCCGGACGCAGGGTCCGTCGCAACCTTATCTACTTTACCAGGCCTACCGGGGTCCTCTCCTCTTCCATTGTGTTGATGTTTTGTTGCTGTGTGAAGCTTCAGCTCAAGCGATACAATACCGAACAGATATCTTTGGCAAGCTTGGAAACATGGCAGCCGACTCAATAGGCCCAACAGACCATCCAACCGACTTGTCAGGGTTATCGGTGTCTCAATTTCCCTGGCGCGATATGTCGTTGATCTCTCGCCTCACCTGGGTATGTAGCGAGCTGCTAATTACCTTAGCTTACAGAGAACGTTTGCTACTTGTACTTGTACACCTCGTCACGCCGCTGCTAGAACAAACAAGACAATTCTTCAACGCCAAGGCAAACGTGTGCTAGTGCAGACCGAGGTGAAGAGCGATACGCCAAGTTTGCGAATGCGCCGAGTCCGCAGTCGAGGCGAGGCGAGGCAAGAAGAGGAAGGGTCGTTGGCGCAGCGCCAGATAAGCATGATAACGATAGCAGTACCTTGTCTCCAAGGGTCCTGGCTTCCAATCTTAATTGTTCGGAATACGGCAACATCATCACATTGTTCAGTCGAGAATACCACAGAGCAGATGACTCGATATTGAAGAGTTATACAGGCAGATCAGCACGCAGACAGCTTGAAGCAAGACTAAGTACGGATACATGCGCTCATTCGGAGGGATAAATCTTCGGAAACCTGGATCGGGCTGGGCATTGCACCGAATTGACTGCGCGCGCAGCCCGCACACTCCCTCTTCCCCAACCCAAGCCACCGGTTGTCACACAAGTCCAGGTCGCACACTGCCAGTCTGCGCCGCCACCGGTGTTCGTTCCTGGGCTCTTTCCCACCGGGGGTTTCGGGCGTCTCGTTACTGTTACTGTCCAGGGAAGGTAATGCAGACGGGGAGAGTGAGCGAATGGTCTTTCCTGTCCGAGGTAGACGCCGGACAGCGGGTGGCTATACTTGGCCTGGGATGTTGCTACTTGTTGATGCGCGTCCAGTTCCAGTCGCAGTCGCAGCAGTTCAGACCAGAACTTGTACTCGTAGCACCGGTCCCCTCCCATCCCGCGTCTAGGAAGTAGTCGGGTGTACATCCATTCCCTCCGTGGTCTATGGTCCATGAACCTGTGGTGTATGAGTATGACTATGATCCCACCCTTCAACGGATACCTAGCTCGTTTTCGCCCTTGGTCAATGGTCTGGCTGTATGGTGTGTTGCGACGTCAGTGGGGATTTAATATTAAATCACTCCCCCGTACCTTTTTTTGCCTATGCCGCCGTTAGTCTGCTCCTATCATCTGCAGGGCAGTGGGAATAAACAGAAGAAGAGAATTAAGAAAAAAAAAGATAAACGCCCCTTCCACCACGGCACCACCTCGACCTCTGGACCCTCTTCTTGCTGTTACTACTGCTGCTGCTGCCTCCCGTTCGTCTCCGTCCCAACATCTTTTTACCCACTGCCTCCCTCTCCTGATTTCTTCTCATTCATAGCTTCTTCCCTCCACTTCTTCTTACTCCCACCTACTCTTCCTTCCTCGTCCTCCTGATCCTCCCAAACTCTCTCCAACACACACTTTGGTCCTTCACGGAAAGACGACCACCCTCTACCAATAGGTGCGTTGGGCCCGAATTCACTGCCCCTCCCCCTCTTCCTCCTGTCCCCTCCTTGGTGCTGGAACATCCTTGTCCTGATTCTGCACGTTGGGCACCTTTGGCGACCTGTTTGCCAGGCGCGTTGAAACGGCGGTGAATGGTGTTTGGGAGTTCAAAAATAAGTCTTTCTGGCTAACCCTTCAGTCTTTTCGTAGACTTCAATTCTCCCAAAATCACAGTCTGTTCGACCGCGCCGCCCAAAATGGCTTCCAGACCTGAGAACATTGGCATCAAAGCCATCGAAATCTACTTCCCCAACCAGGTTGGTCTCACCATGCTTTTTTTTTTGCGCCACCGCCAAATTGCTGGAAGAGGGAGAGCGAAAGGGGAGAGAAAAAAAAAAATCCGCGCTCTGCCCCTCAGCGCCGAAATCGCAATCCACACGCCAGCACTGCCAGAATTACCCCTCCTCAATCTCCCACCCCAGGCTCGGGCGGGTTAAAAGCCCGCTTCTTGTTGAAGCTCTCACAAGATTCTGAGAGCATTGTACTGACCTGTTTGCTTCCCGTCGTCTAGTATGTCGAGCAAACCGAGCTTGAGACTTTCGATGGCGTCAGCGCCGGCAAGTACACCATCGGCCTTGGTCAGACCAAGATGGCCTTCTGCGACGACCGCGAGGGTGAGCTCCGCCTGCTTCTCCCTAAACCCGGTGCTTGCTCTAATCTGTCGCGCTTTTTGTAGACATCTACTCCTTCGCTTTGACCGTCACCTCCAACCTGATCAAGAAGTACAACATTGACACCAACTCCATTGGTCGCCTCGAAGTCGGCACTGAGACTCTCCTGGACAAGTCCAAGTCCGTCAAGACTGTGCTCATGCAACTCTTCGGCGAGAACACCAACATCGAGGGTGTTGACACTGTCAACGCCTGCTACGGAGGTACCAACGCCTTCCTTAACTCTGTCAACTGGATCGAGTCTTCCGCCTGGGATGGCCGTGATGCCATTGTTGTCGCTGGTGACATTGCCCTCTACGCCAAGGGTAACGCCCGCCCCACTGGAGGCGCTGGCGCAGTCGCCATGCTTGTTGGCCCCAACGCTCCCGTTGTTCTGGAGCCCGGTCTGCGTGGTACCTATATGTCCCACGTCTACGATTTCTACAAGCCCGACCTCACCAGCGAGTACCCCTACGTCGATGGTCACTACTCCTTGACCTGCTACACCAAGGCTCTGGATGCTGCCTACCGCGAGTACAACAAGCGTGAGGCCAAGCTCGCCAAGGCTGCTAACGGCCACGCCAACGGCAACGGAGCCACCAACGGAGAGTCCAAGATCCCCAAGACCAGCCTTGACAGATTCGACTACTTCTCCTTCCACGCCCCCAACTGCAAGCTCGTCGCCAAGTCGTACGCTCGCCTGCTCTACCACGACTACCTCGCCGATGCCGACTCACCCGTCTTCGCCGAGGTCGCCCCCGAGCTCCGCGACATGGACTACGAGAAGTCGCTGACCGACAAGGTCGTCGAGAAGACCTTCATGGGTCTCACCAAGAAGAAGTACCAGGAGAGAGTCGCTCCTGGTGCCCAGGTCGCCACTCTCCTCGGCAACATGTACTGCGGTTCCGTTTGGGGCGGTATTGCCAGCTTGCTCTCCTACGTTGACGCTGCCACTCTCAAGGACAAGCGCGTTGGTGTCTTCAGCTACGGCTCCGGTCTGGCTGCTAGCTTCCTGTCTTTCCGCATCAACGGAGACGTCACTCCTCTCGCCAAGGTGCTCGACATTCCCGCCAGACTCGAGGCCCGCACCAAGCTTGCCCCCGAGACCTACGAGGCTGTAAGCAATTTCCTTCCCCAATGCAATGCCCCCAAGTGAGAATTTACTGACAACATCTCTCCAGTTCTGCGACCTCCGCCACCAGGCTCACCTCCAGAAGGACTTCACCCCCAAGGGTGACGCCTCCACCATCACCCCCGGTACATACTACCTGGAGAAGGTTAACGACAAGTTCCAGCGTTCCTACAGCGTCAAGGCATGAAACCGACAATGACTTTTTTGATCTTGGAATTGCGAAACAAATAGAGGTGGCTGCATAGATCCTGCGACAGCATGAGAGCTGAAGGAGCACGGCCAGCATTACGTACTTTAATCAGAGGAGGAAATACAGAGACGCCGCCGGCCACGACAGACGGAGATTCTGTCGTGAGAGAGGAATCGGCGCTTGGAATGCACCTCGCAATGGGGGCATTGTATATACTGGGCCAGATAGCCGTATTTGAGCGTCCCTTAGGACGAATGAAGCTGGAAGAATAGACGAATGAATTGAATCATGCCATATCACTCTCAGATTATCATGTGCCGCAAGTCTTTGTGGTAAATATTTCAAAAGTTCATTTTTATGATCCCTTATCTATGCCAAAATGCCAAAGGCCACAGCCCCCCTTGTGCGGTTGGCTGTGATGCTAATGATGCTACACTACTAATACATGCCACGCATGGCAATCTATGGGTAATATACGCGGCCGTTTCCAACATGATCTACGCCCGACAATGAGAATCACTAGTCACATCCATTATATGATGCGGCCTCACCTTCTTTACTCGTACATTTCTACTTCTCTTTATTCGTCACCTTTCCACTTCCACTCGGCCCGGCGGTGCAAATGGTAATCCTTGCTCTGGATAGCCTTGTAGATACCATACAGACCGCCAATGGGCGGCTTGGACTTTACGACGTCGCGCCAGCCCTTCTTCTCGCCCTTGCGGGCCTCGACGTCGACCTTGACCTTGTTGTACACGGTCGGCAGCGTCGTGGCGTTGTACTTTTCGCGCAGGGCCTCGTACCAGCTCTTGTTGTTGTAGGCCTGCCAGAACTCGTCTTCGGTGTAGTACGTGTGCGCGTACAGCCACTTCATGCCGCCCAGCTCGCGGAGCTTGTGCTCGAGGGCGCGGTTCTTGGTGACGAATTCGGCCGGGTCAGAGGGGCCCCAGCCCCAGAGGCCGATGTTGAGCATCGGTTTGGGGGCCGTTACCGTACTGCTGCCGCTGCTGCTGCTTCCCTCAGCGGCGGGCAAGGTCTCGACCTCGCCCGTGTGCGGGTGGAACGTGGGCGGGGCGGTCTGCTTCAAGGGACAGAGCCAGAGGGGCCAGATGCCAAAGTTCTCGGCCGTGTAGTCGACGAAGCGCTCGGCGTTCTTGTAGGGGAGGGCGAGATCCTGGACGACGAAGCGGGCCGACTCGCCGCTGCCGTGGAGGGCGCGGTAGAGCATGCGCGTGTGCAGGAAGTCGTCGAGGAACCAGCGGGTGAAGCGCGTGAAGGGGACGTACTTGAAGTAATCGAAGGCGGCGGCGCCGACCCAGAAGCCGGCGCGGTCGTAGCGGAAGAGGTACTCGGCCAGGGGCACGTAGTCGACCACGGCGGACGAGGATGTCGTCGCCACTGTCGACGCCTCGCTATTGGCGGAGCCGGCGGTGAGGGTACGGTCTTTGACGTGCAGGTAGAACCAGGGGTCCCAGGCGCCGCTGAAAGTCTGCGGCTTGCGGTCCTCGGGGATCTCGTCCGTCAGCTTGCCGGTGATGACGACGCCGTGGTCCTTGGAGAAGAGGATGCCGTCGACGTAGTCGTTTTCGGCGTTGAGCGTCTCGGCCTGGACGGTCTCGACGGCCTCGGCGACGCTGTGGGTGCGGTGGTACGTCGTCTTTACGTACTTCTTGGCCTCGACGAGCTGCAGCTCAATCATGGTGGTAACGCCGAGGGTGCCGACGGCTCCCGCAGCGCCGCGGAACAGGTCGGCCCGCTCGTTGGTCCGGTTGGCGCGGACGACCTGGCCGTCGGCGAGGACCATTTCGACCTCGTTGATGGTGTCGTCGAAGAAGCCGTGCTTGAAGCTCGAGGACTCGCCCGCGGTGCCGGCGTAGCCGCCGCCGGCGGTGATGCCGGGGAACTCCATGACGACGGGGGGTATGAGGCCGTGGCGGAGGGTGCCCTCGACGAGGCGGTCCATGGGGACGTTCGGCTCGACGAGGGCGGTGCGGCGGGCCTTGTTGACCTCGAGGACGCTGCCGAGGGCCGAGATGTCGACGACGCGGTCGCGGCGGAAGGGGCGGGTGCTGTTTGTCGAGCCGTGGAAGATGCGGTAGGGTTCCTTGCGGTCGAAGAAGGACCGCACCGCGGCGGCGATCTTGGAGACGGTCTTCTTGTGGCGCTCCATTGTGAACTCGTTATTAGTCGTGCCTGTCCCCTATACTATATGAATGATTCACCGTGAGCTCTCTCGCCCTTCTTGATTGAGTTTCTTGTGAGATCTTGGTGAGATCTCTGTGTGTTCACATCCAACACGGGGTGAGGGTGAGAATGAGATGTGAGTGAGAGCTATGCCAATGAGATTTCGGATGTGAGGTGAGATTTTTCCAGACGTTGCGCTGGCGCCGTAGCGCCACGTTTTCGGGGCTGTAGGTGCCTTAGCTCACCCGCATGTACTTTATCAAGGTTCTGACAGGGGATGCTACCTTACCCGGAGCTGTTCGGTGCAGGGGTAGCTCCAGCCTCAACCATTAACGCCATCTTCAACCTCTACACTCTGGGGGATCAATCTGAAATCTTCAATCCCAGAGGTGGGTTATTGAGTCTGTGACAGTGAGTGAACGACCTTCCGGTGTCACTCGACGCTGGAGCCTCTGGATTCTCGCAGAATTTCATCAAGGCGAAGGGTGACACGACGAGGTGCGGCCCGTTGCCGATGCAGCAAACACAACATTGGTGTGTGAGGTGAGATCTTTACCAAATCCGCCCTCTCTCACCTTGCTGCACTGCAACACGGCCCGAGCATTTCCCGACTCGTCAATCGTCACGAACGCGTGGATCAGCGCACAGAAACCTCCGTATTCGTGATACGCGTTTCGTTGGCCCCTTTCGCATGTGATACTAGATAGCTCCTAGAACGGGGCGGACAAGAATAATCTTCTTGGCTTTGGAGATCCGTCCACTGCTTGTTCAACGGGATGATCCCAGCAAGGAGGGTGAGTACGGACACGCTCGAGTCTCGTTTTCTGTGCGAAGTTATCTTATTTTGATTTGTGCAATTGCTCGCCCTATTATCATTCCTTTTTTCATGAGGCGTTTAAATAATTACATGGTCTGATGTTGAATATGCAAAAATCATTAGTGATCTCTCTCCTCTTTCATCGAACACCGGTAAAGCTCATCATCAGACATCGACGCGACTCTCCCTGCCCCTTTGCTCCTGGTGGGATCTAGAGTTTCGCCGCAGTCTCTGGCGCAGCCGCCAATGTCGTCTCCTTCTTGGCGAGAACCCTCTTATGCACATCCTCAGCGCTCACGGCACTTAACGACTCAAAGTCGAGAACCTCCTCCTGCAGCGTCTTGGACTTGATCGAGGTCGCCCTGGAATCGATCGTCTCCGGGCTCGTGACGGCCCTCTTCATGAAATTGGTCCACCCTTCAAAGCACCGCCTCGCATTGGGGATTTTTGTCAGGATCAGCGCGAAGCAGTGCGGCATCCCCTCGTACTCCTCAAAGACCACGGGCACGCCGTCCTGGTGCAGCTTGCGCGCCATGTACTTGTCCTCGTCCGCCAGCAACTCCCACCCCGTGCAGATGTACACGGGCGGCGCGCCCGCCCAGCTGCGGCTCATCAGGAGCGTCACCAAGGGATGCGCGAGGAGGTCGTCGTCGGCGTACATATTTGTCCGGGGCGGTTTCGCGGGCCAGGCTTCGCAGGGGGGCGGGTTGTATTTTGCGTAGACTTCGCCTGTGGGCAGGTAGTCGAATTCTCCATTGGCGTCCCAGCTGGGCGAGCTTTGCGTGATGTCCATCCACGGTGAGTTGAGTGCGAGTCCCGCGGGTAAGGGGATTTCTCTCTCCTCGCCCAGCCAGCGAATCTTTCGATTCTGTCTGCGCAGCTCGAGGAGGAGTTGTAGCAGAGATAGACTCAAGTTGCCCCCGGCACTATAACATGTTGATTAGCACACCGACTTCCTCCTGACGATTGAGATTCACTCACCTGTCTCCAGCAACGACGATATGTTTCGGGTCGACGGCTTGGTGGTAGGCATCGGGTGGCGGGTATAGCAGAGTCAAATAGGAAACCAAGGCGTCTAGCAGAGCCGACGGGAAGGGGTTCTGCGGAGCCAGGCGGTACCGCACTGAGTACACGCGGCCTCCAGTCAACTTGGCAATCTTTTTCGTAGCTGGTCGGTGAGTCGCCGGGTCGCAGAGATAGTACGCTCCTCCGTGAAGGTACAACACCGTCAGCGGGCTGGTAACCTCCTTCTGTAGCTTTTCAAACTTGTCCTTCTCCCCAATCGCGGGCGGCCGCTCCTCTTCCGTCGCACCGGCACGGTAGCCCGTCCACTCGGCCTCCACTGGCACGATATCCGGCAGTCGCAGCTTGAGTTCTGGGGTATCTGGTGCCCTGGTTGACTGTATGATCCCGATGATGGCGTCGCGCACGTCGGTTTCTGGCGGCACGGGGCTGGCGTATGTGGAAACCCATATCCTCCCCTTGACGCCGCTATCACGGTTCGCGAGCTTCTGCGTGGACGTGATGGAGCGCAACTTGGCTGGCTGAAGGTATGAACGTAGCACCGAGATGATGAGATCGCTCCGTAGATCTAGGTACTGGGGTGACTTTGACAAGTGTAGAACATGAAGCAGTGCTACCCGTGTTATCAAGGGCACTTTGGGCAGCAACGACAACAGCAACTTGAACTGGGCAGGGTCCATATTGAGAGGATTCGGATAGTCGAAGGATGATCGGGACATGGCTAAAAAAAAGGGAGGGAGAGGGAAAATAGGCAACGGCCTGGTCAAGGGATATATAAGAGAAGAAGAAGCAAGTGAAGGGTCAAGGCCAAGACGGCTACTATGCCTGACGTGGTTGAAACACCAGCAACAACACACGCTACTCCAGCAAAAGAAGGCTGCAATCTGTCGATAGAAGGTAGCAACGGTCAAGGGCTAGGGGCCAACAGGATGTTCAGATGAGTAGGGAATTGGTTGCGGGACCCCCCTGGCCATCAGATTCGGAGCCCACTCAGACTCACACCCACACTTCACCGTACGGATCGGCGGTCCCTTGGAGAGGGGATGTATCTAGCCTCTAGGAGCAGGGTACCAAGGTCGAAGAGAAGACAGGGTAAGCTGAGGAAGCTTGCCGTGGAGTGTTGTATGTGTGTGTGTGCGTGGTGTGGATGGGAATAGCTGCTGTTGTGGGGAAAGCGGGAACGTGTTTGCACTCCGTCACGGTACAAGGAGGATGGGAAGAACCAGAATGGAGAAGAAAACAAATGTAACGGTAAATGGATGGTAGCCCACAAGTGTCCGCAACATGAGCCAGAGTAAGAAACCAAAAAGAGTACTGGATAATTAAAAGAAAGCCAACGAGGCTGGGGATGCTTCGTTGGCGACTAAGGCGAATTGCCTACCTCAGGTGAATGGCAGACAAATCGATGACATGTCGGTTAGCCCGAAAAGGTGCCTCGGTTGATGGGATTTTCCCTCGAGTGATCGCTTGTGGCCATCAAACGAATGCGCAGCGGTCTAAGGCAAGTTTTACCCTCGCCGTTAGCTTCCCGCTTTAACCCTTGCATCATGTGCCAAAGGCTACTAGTGTAATGGTGTTGTATCCCTAGAGAGGATAGTTCTCCAAATTGGGGAATATCCTCATGGTCACTCCAAATTCTTAATCCATTGGGGTTTCGGAGCAATTCCAGCAGCGATGATGGATGGAGTGGAGGGTTAGAAGAGGCCGAGGGGCCGAAGGAGGGCGAAGATTGGATATGAGTGGCGCGTAGGACGACACTCACGAGGAAGCCCAGCGCAATGCGAAGCGTTCCAGAAGCCGTGAGTGGACGGTTGATGAGAAAGTAGTCTGAATCAACTAGGTAAGCACGCAAGGTACCTAGGACTTGGTATTAACTTCTGAGCAGCACACGGCTACCTTAGGCTTCAGCCCGTCCTTCAGGGAGAGAGAGACTGTTGATTGAGATGGCAGATGCAGTGGCGGGGATGAGCCTGGCAGGCGTCATGTTTCGAGTATTACCGTTGCTGGTAAGGAGGCAAAAGACCAGACGGTCGGCAAGCCGCAAGAAAAGATGAGGGTCGTTGGCTTTTGCTTCATCAGCAGCGGCGGCTCCCAGGGGGGTTGCTGTTGTTTGCTCCGCAAGAACGGTCAAAAGAGGAAATTGTTGCGGAAAAGGGTGGAACATGTTCGTTGCTTGTTCTTCGGCCCGCTCCAGTGCTGTCTACGGTTCTGCCTTACTCCGTATTCCTGACTAGATGTCGCGGGGCATACGTTTCGCACCAAAGCTGGGCGGTTTCCTTCTTTTTTTTTTCCCCCCCTTCCTGCCTTCATGTTCAGATACTTAGTTAGATGGAGGAGGGGAAAGATGAATGTGTCAGTGTTTGACATTAAAACACTCTTTGACATTTGCTCCGAAGGCCTCCTCCATGTGGTTGACAACTGATACTTCCCTTACTTACAATGTACCTTGAAGCCACGTTAAGGCTTGCGCAAAGCTACTGCTCGGAGCAATCCGCCATGCTTCGAGGTGGCTGGCATTTTAGACTGAGAGATGCTTGCTTATCCACCCTTCAGAAGTTCAGATACTCACTTCAACCTTCTCTCACCCCTCATCCTAACCCTGCATTCTTCACTCTGCTCCTCAAACATCTGACCCATCGTCTGTGGGTTGAAGCAAGGAGCTTCAAGCTCCGTTGTGGTACACTATTAGAGTGAGATCTGCGCCCGTTGCTGAATCAAGCGCGACTCACGAAAGAAAAGAGACACCACATCCCACACAAGACACTAAAACCCCATGCTCCCATGCTCCGTTTTTAGTTTTCTAGCCCCCCTCTCGGATGATTAACGTCGCTTAGATGGAAGAAGAAATGCACCCAATCCTACGGCTCCGGCAGTGGGCCCCCGGCGTTCAGGCGCGCTCCCGCAACACTATCGGGGGACGCCACCCCATTTCAGTCGAGCTTGCGAAGATCGCCAGATACCTTCGTTTTGCAGCTATTTGTACCTGCCTCGCTTTCTACAGTCTCGCTCAATACTCACGTTCTCTTTCATCTCTGCTTGACCGGCATCTATGCGGATCCTCTCAAACTGCACATTGCCAATTATTCTGTCGTAATCGACTCTTGAAACTGACTGCGTGACAGCCTGGCCCATCTATGAACGCTTTT